TCCCTGGCGGCGTAGTGTGTTACTGATGGTAGCCTTTGTTACTTTGGTCTCAGCTTTCTGCAGGTCATTCACTAGGTCCCCCCGTGTGGTTCTGGGATCTTTACTCACCGTTCTTGTGATCATTTTGACCCCACGGGGTGAGATCTTGCGTGGAGCCCCAGATGAGATCTTGCGTGGAGCCCCAGATCGAGGAAGATTATCAGTGGTCTGGCATGTTTTCCATTTTCTAATAATTGATCCCACAGTTGATTTCTTCACACCAAGCTGTTTACCTATTGCAGATTCAGACTTCCCAGCCTGGTGCAGGTCTATAAATTTTTTTCGGGTGTCCTTTGACAGCTCTCTAGTTTTGGCCATGGTGGAGTTTAGAGTGTGACTGTTTGAGGTTGTGGACAGGTGTCTTTTATACTGATAACGGGTTCAAACAGGTGCCATTAATGAAGGTAACGAGTGGAGGACAGAGGAGCCTCTTACAGAAGAAGTTACAGGTCTGTGAGAGCCAGAAATCTTGCTTGTTTGTAACTGACCAAATACTTATGTTCCACCATATTTTGCAAATAAATTCTTTAAAAATCAGACAATGTGATTTTCTGGATTTCTTTTTCTCATTGTGTCTCTCATAGTTGAGGTATATCTATGATGAAAATTACCGGCCTCTCTCACTTTTGAGTGGCAGAACTTGCACTATTGGTGGCTGACTAAATACTTTTTTGCCCCACTGTAACAGTGTGGCATGCGGATCTTTGATTTTAGTACAGGTGACCAAAACTGTGCCAAATGTTTTTTTTCTTGTCTCATAAAATGGAATCTGGTTGGAAGAAAGTGCTGATTTTTGTGGTACTTCTGTGTTTTCATCAAAATATACCACTGGAAGCACCATAATATAAATAAAAAAAGAGAAAGAGGAGCTACATTGTGTCCTTTTATCTCAAGCTAGAATTTTATTGAGAAAAGACATCCATAAAAAAATAACATGAGTAAAAATAAATCAAGAATAAAAAAATCAAGCATTTGAAAAAAATCTAATAAGTAGCTATCAATGTAATGTGTAAATATAAAAATAAGTTTGCAAAAACTGTTTCTTCAAGATTTGTTCACATCGGTTTTTGTGTGAAAAATTCATGCATTTTAAATTGTGTAAAGCTACGTATAGATTCTTATTGTTTTTTGTTTGAATTGGTCATTAAAATTTGAATAATCCCGTATGGCACTTCTAATTTCGATTATTTATGCCAAATAGACCTTTTGCATACAGAAAGGGCCACAGTTTTAAGATGCTTATGAATAGAGATCTGAAATTTTATGAAGTAGCCCACATGAACACCAAGTTTACTGAGTTGGAGAGGTCAACTAAGAATTTTACCCAATATATAAAATACTAAAAAATCACCTTATTTGAAGTAAAATAGCTCAGGTTGTGTAAAACTTACAGAGTTTGTACACATATCTCCAGAAATGAGAAGATATTAGTTTTCAAATTAGAAACATCACAAGCATGTCGGATTTATAAAGTTATATTTCTAGGCAAAGGCTTTTGGGTATGCAGTTTTTTTATGTGCAAGCTATACAAAGGTTGGAAGTAAGGGTTAAAACGGTGGAAGAATACTAAAAGAAATACAAGAAGCACCTGAAATTCTGATATAAAATACAACAGAGGAGGAGACTGATGGTAAGCATCAGAGGAAATAACAAGCTTAGTCATAGGAGCAGAACAAAAACTAAGAAAACAAAAAAAAGCCCAACTTAGATCTCTGACACAAGATAGACGTACACACATTCCTGTGTGTAACCAAAATGCCAGAGCTTGTTTTAACTCTGCAATCAATCTTCAATCTGAGGAGGAAATTGGAGGTGTAGAAAAGCTTCCCATGTTACACAACACAAAATGTTTCATCTGACATGTGTTAAAAAGAGACCATGAGATAGATCAACACAGGATAACAACTTGAATAAGTAGTGTAACAAATCTTGATATGGCAGCTGAACCTGTCCATTGAGCCTTAGGCTTAAAACAAAAATCCTTAATGCGTAGCAAAAGTTGGTTTCAGTTCATGTTTATCAGTGTTGTACACATGCATGCTACATGCCTGTTAAAAAAAGCTGAGTTATGGGTGAGAACACTATCGGCTCCTAATCTTGTGTAACGCAAATACGGCTAGGCGCCTGACAACGGCCATAGATGTTAAAAATGGATGTCAGATAGGTTCAGCTATGGAGCCTGTAGGTGAAACATTTACAAAGCAACAAGTAGTTGTTTTAAGTTACTGTATTGAAAATTATATTTGTTTCAAATATATTCAGGAAAATAATCAATAAACAATAAGAAATAACACTGAAAACAACAAAAAAACAAATGAAAATAGGAAAGTATGAACCCAGATAACACTCAAGAGTTTCTCTTTTTACTCCTCTGTCAAGTTACCTTTTTCGTAGGAAGATGTTCAATGATCCATTGAACAACAGTCCAACTTTTCCCAAGATCCAGGGCAATAAGTCAGAAAGGAAAAAAAAAAACAAGAAATAGTTCAGTCCTACGGCAATATTTCGGTGATCTAGTCACTCTCCATCTTGGTTTGAAACAGGGGTATGCAAAAAAGAAATAACTATATTCCATAAGTATTTATAAGGAATTACTCACAATTAGCTTAAAGTTAAAATTTTTATAAATGGTACAAATTCAAATAAATGAACAAGTAAAGTAACAACCTAAAGTTACTGGTCAAGTTTCAATTAAAGTGCACTTTCAAGTGGTAATTAAGTTTAATTAACATTAAATTCAATTAAAGTCTAACTCAATTATAATTCCAACAAACAATGGCTTGGGTTTTATTACATTTGTTGTACAACTCCAAAGACTTCACCCAGTTCTTCTTCTTCTTATGTTTTTTTATTGGCAGATGGCAACCAACTTAAGGTGCATTTACCGCCACCAACCATACTGGAGTGTGGTTATCAATTATATCAGAGGGAGGTTATTAATACATATGTCAATGGTATGCACAAGTCTGCATATAACCTATCAATCAATATACACCCTTAAATATAATTTAGTATATGAGTATATGCACTTTCTTACACACACATATTCTTTATTTAAATACGATTAAATAATAGTTTTTAAATCTAATTAACTGATTTCTAGCAGAATTAGATTTACTTCCTAAAAGGTTTATCATTGAAAATCCAATTTTTTCTCTATTTAGTGTTGACTTTCCTGTGAATATTTATCACATTCTAATAATACATGTTCCACTGTTTCCATTTGATTACAGTAATTAACAGTTCCTGTGTCATGTTTTGCTATTTTGAAAAGAGAACTATTAATTCCAGTATGACCAATTCTAAGTCGAGATATGACTACCTCTTCTTTCAGAGATGTTGAGTTCACCTCTAGCCTCTAGAACTTATAGTGTGCTCCTTGTTTGACCTGCCAAAATAAAAGTGGGGTGGTTATTTTTTGCAGGTTACCCTTGCAACCTGCTAAATATGAAAAGGAGTAATGCAGAGGACCAGGGCAGACTGGAATAACCAGATATGATTTTCAAGTGCTAGCTATTGTAACTGCTGGGACTTTTCTTGTCATAATCCAGTTCATTTTTATTTGTTAAGCACTTATAAAATAACCACGACTGACAAAAGTACTGTACAGAAAGTTAAAAAAAAAAACAAAAAAAAACACTGGACTGAATGGGAAAGAAATTTGTCACATCGGTGAGCCCCACCATAGCATTTAATTACATTCTGCCCACACAGTTCAGAGCCTTCTGTTATCACACCACAGCCCAAGAGGAGAGCCTTGCTCTGTGGGCCTGCTGGAAGACTGCTAAGACACCACTGCATGAAAAGTGGGATTTTCGTCAATATACGGCACTGTAGATTGTCGTGGAACTTCAGGTTAGCGGCAGTTTACGGCAATTTGCAGGCTTCGCCGAAAACTCCCGTAAATTGTCAGAAATTGACGTGGAATTTCTTAGGCAGTGTTCCCCCCATGCCTCCCCCCCATGGAATTCTAGGGGAGGCTTTAACATGTAAATGAACATGCTGTGAGCTATACAAATGCAAATCAGGGTTGCAGGGGGGGGTTTTACCCCAAGTGACATTTTTGTAAAAGGTAAGAAAATCTCTGATACAAAGAGATCAGGCTCAGTATAGCCTCTTACATTTTAGCTTGAATTGATTTATTTAATTAAAGTATAGAGACCAAAACAGATCTTTAGCTGACAGAGCAATACATTTAGAGCAGTAATTATTTTTAAAAAAAATTGCATTTAAGATAAAAAATAAAATGTTGTCTGTCAATATGCTCAATTCACAATTACTTAAGTGGAAAAGTTTCAAGAAATGATTCTGAGATGATTCACTTTATAACATGGCGCATTATCCTGCTGGAAGTAGCCATCAGAAGATTGGTACACTGTGGTCATAAGGACATAGGTCAGCATGCTAAATTGGTATTAAGTGGCCCAAAGTGTGGCAATAAATATCCCCCAAATAGATGGTAGAAATAGATCAGGCTCAGTATAGCCTAATTATAGACTCTTACATTTTAGCTTGAATTGATTTATTTAATTAAAGTACGCTAGATTACTGTGTATGCAAATGTTATGTAAAAAAAATACACAAAATAATTTATTTCAAAAATTAGTTTTAATCAGAATCAGTTGGTAAAATGAAAAAACAACATTAGAATCAGAATGAGGGGTCTGTAGAGATCACAGTCTCCTAGAGCTCAACTACTGTGCATAGTGGCATGACTACTGTGACTTTTTCTTTGGTCTTACTTAAATGCACAGAGGATGTATTAACCACACATCTTCTTGCAATGCGCTCAACTGGCAGAAATGATGCTGGGTATGACGTGTCTGTTCCCTGCAAGCCCCAAACTTCTATTGGCTTTCCATAAAAATGTCTGTCCGGATGGGGATGAAGCCAGGAAACTTGTGCAATAACATGTTTAAATGCAGTACCCTTTGACACAACATTAACAACAATAAACTGCTTTATAATGGCTGGTCGTAGTTCTGCTAGAGGGTCAAGGATGGGATCCTCAAAACTGTTAGTGTTTCCACACCACTTAGCACATACATATGCTGACCTTTCTGCTCTAGATCCATCGATTGAGTAAGTTACATTCATATATGTTACCCGTTTGCATGTCATGGCAAAACAGTCAACATCAGTGACACAAGGGTACATCTGATGATACATTGTCAACATTGCACGTCTGTCAGACACATCCAAGATTGTCTGGTGGAATGGAGACAGAGGCACCACTGCACAGTTTTCAAAGAAAAGTCGTTCTGCTGACACCAAAACACTGTGCTTCACATAAAGCATATCAGCTGTGTCATTGCATGACAAAGTCCCAACCATTTGTCTTCCTAAAATACTGGCAAAGTCTGCACCATATTCACATGTCCATGGCATATGAAGCTGTTGGCTCTGCTGAAATTGCCTCATAATCTGTACTTCAATTGTCCTATTGTTGTGATTAAACTTTCCCAGTATTCCATTAAAACGCTCAAATGAGAAACACCAAAAAGAATAAACTGGTCCATAATCCAACATGCATTCTTTCAAATGGAGATGTAGATGCATGTTGGGGGTGCAGCGCAATGGGCCAAACAGTTTGACAAATTTGGAGAGAAAAGTCTGCAGGTATCCATCTGCTACTTCCAGTCTATTGATTGATATGACTCTGGAGCAGAGTATGATACAAGCCTGCACAAAGTCAAACCACATGTCATAGTGTCTGTTGTCGATAAGCCCTTTCAGACAAAACAGTGAGTAAATGGTTGTCCAGTTTTTCCACTGATCTGCTGTAAATCCAAAAGCCAGATGAAATCCGTAAGGGAATTCTTCCAACCTCATAAGGTACTTTGATGTTTTCCACTCTAGCTTGAAGTTCATCAAGGCCTTTAGTTGTTAAAATTCCTAGTTCTGTCCACAGTCTGAATACATGTCTTGCCGTACCAAGGAGAAGGTTGTGCATTGGATCAATGACGACAAATCTGATGGCATCATAGTAACTCAAGCGGAAAAGTTCTGACCATCTAGCTCCATACTTCCGCTCCATTATTTTCTGCTCTGCTCTCGTCTTTGCCCGTTTGGATAATCCAGCATAGTGTGTGTGATCCTTCGACATGCGTGGCTCCCATGAAGACCGTTCAAATCCTGAGTAGTCCATTTTTTCACCAAATCCTTTCTTGTTGAAAGTCTTTAAACACTTGTGGCATCCTGCAAATGTAAGTAAAATGAAATATGTTACATACACCTCAATATTTCAGAATTTGATGAAACAGACCAACTGCTATCCATTCAAACATAAACAATGTAAACATTTACATATTGATTTTACTGATTCAATGATTAATGTTGATGTAATATTTAATATTGATATTTAAATTACCTCTGTATGCTCCATGTCCAACAAAGCCTCCACATTTTCGAGTTGCGGGGATATCTGGTGAAAGACAAAGCAGGGCTGCTCTGTAAACCTGATGTCCTAACAACGAGCTGTCTTCCAGAATCATGCCATGCCAAAGTTGTTGAAGCTCATCAACTAAGGGGTCTAAGAAAGCATTGATATGTAGTGATGGCTCTTTTGGTCCAGGTATGAGTCCAACGAGAATCATATTTTCTTCCTTAAAACGGTCTTCACGAGGTAGATTCAAAATTACCAAGTAGATGGCTCCAACTGAATATGGTGCATCTTTGAAAGGTTGGAACCAGTCCACATTCAGCATCAAGGCCAAATTATTTGGCTCTGCTAAAAAAGGCTCTCCATTCACATACTGGTAATCCTGCCATACTTGTCCATCATACACGTCTGCTAACACACCCTCAGGTATTTTCCGCTTTCTCCATTCTTCACATTTCTCTTCAAATCCAGGTCTTTTAACAAGTTCTTCCAGAGACTGTATAACACTCTTGTAACAGTAAGAACGGATTGGAGTTAAATACTCTTTACCGCAAGAAGATTTTGCCTTTCTTAGCAAGGCAGAGCCACATTTCTTCCTTAAGGTAGACTTCAGCTGTGGGTGATTGTAGAATGGTATGTGACCACAAGTCTTACAAACCTTTGTGCCATCGCGTTTGAGCTCGTAGGTTTCAGTAAGCATGTATACTGTCATACATTTTGGACAAACCACATACTGTAAGAAGTTGTCACGGAGGACACCAGTCCATTTCCTCAAGGAGAATAAAGTCTTTGGAATATTGCTTGCAAAGGCAGTGAGGGGACTGGCACACATGACATGTCCAAGTATCCATATGAAACGTTTGATGCACGGAAGAAGTGATGTGATGGCATTGTCAGAAATCTTGAAGGTAGCTTGCCATGACAAAAGCATCATGGCCAGAATTTTCATCAACAAGTCTTCTGGTTTTTCACTTGTGGACTGATCACTTCCATGCCCCTCCCCATCTTGTATGTGAGGATAGGCTTCACTCAGCTCCTCATCAAGGCTTTCCACAACTTCGTCCTCTTCATACTCATCCTATGCAAACGAAAAGTAGGCACATTAGAAATTGCATGCAATGACCATACTCATACTACTCTGTTATTTGTTTTGAATAACAGTTATGATTAATTAAAATCTCTTCCAAGATTTACAACCAAAAGTTGTAAATCTTTGAACTTAATCTTAAAGTTAAAAAGAAGTGTAATCATTAGAATTATTAAGATGCAGCCATGGAGGGTTTTGAAATTTATACAGAAATATTTAAAGCAAATTATCTGACAGATCATTGTTAACCTACTTATGAGGAACACTGAGTGAGTAAAAAAAAAAGTCACTGCATTTGTATACTCTTTAAAGAAGTAAACCTACTTCCAAACCTGCAAACCTGCAAAGGTAATTTCATGCCTTACCACATAACAGGAGATGTCTTCATCATCTTGCACTGACTCTGAATCACTGGAGTCCAGGAAAAGATGAATGCTTTGGTCATCTGCGGTTTCGTCTGGAAAACAACCCATGCAACATGCATTATAATGCGATTTTCATATTTAATTATTACAATACCCATAACCGCGAGAAGCAACCACATTTTAATAGACAGTAACAATTGTGGTGCTCACCGTTGTCGGAACCGTCAGTCCCCGGGTGCATTTCTTCCATCACTTCTTTTTCTGGGTCCTCGGACTGCATTTCACCTTCGTCAATCTCTCCAACTCCAGGCTGAACATAACTCCTGCCGGTTGGGTCATGACTGGATAGCAACAGGCTCGGTGCGTTATCTGACCTAGTCCTTTTGTGTTTTTTCTCCCAAACTCCATTTTTGAAATAGAGCTTTCTGTGGTCGTAATACTGTGTATTAGAGAGTGTAGTGTCGCAATGTTCACAGAAGCGCCGAGGTCTTTTCCTCGTTGTTAGAGCTTCCATCTTTCAACTGACTAGCTTTGTTTACATTATAGACGGGAGCTCTTCTTCTTCTTCCTCTGTTTTGTAATGGCGGTTGGCAAACAATTTATAGGTGCATTACCGCCACCTTCCAGAATGGAGCGACGCGAGCTCTTCTCGCGAGTCCTTCCGTATAACAATGATGTCGTATGTGATTGGAGAGGCCTGATGAGCCTTCGGCCCCATCGTCCAATCACGTGTGAGCTTTTGTGCACTACGACTACTCGCGAGACCAGCATATAAGCAGACATGTTTGTGTTACTATACTCAGAAGAACTTCATCTCCAGTTACCGTGTTTGTATTTTTTTGTTACGTGAACAATGGCTGCACGACGTCTCCCGTTCAACTCGCCTCCAACTGCTTGTAGTCCACAGCTTTCGGCCAGTCCGCAGACTGACGAGAAGAAACTGCTGATTGCTATCAGCGGACTGTCTCGTCAGCTTACCCAGCATACTGCCGACATGAATGAGCGGCTCACTCAGCTGGAGAATTCGATGCACTCCAGGTTGCAGTCCATAGAGGACAAGATGGCGGCTCTGCAGTCCAGCAACTTTGCGGGCTATACGAACTCGAGGAAGAGAAGACGGGTAAAGCTAGCGGTAAATATATGTTCGATTACTGGTAGCTATGCTAAAAGCAGCCTAGCTTAGCTAGGCAAGCTAAAGACAACCTAGCCTAGCTAGGTAAGCTAAAAGCAGCCTAGCTACGGCTAACAGTACCCTTGCAAGAACATGCTTTATTAAAGTGTATTTTTTGTGATACACAGGAAGCAGTACGCCGTCTTCACAACTCGGAGACTAATTGCAGGCGCTATGAACCGGAGCAAGGGTAAGATTTAAAGAATATGCTTTCATTCTGCGGTAAAAGGAAATGGATACGGATAAATACCGACCATAGCTGTCCTTTTTTTTTTTCACAGACTACTGGCGCCTCACAATGAGGCGGTGACCTCCTATTTGCTCGGAGCCATCTCGGCAAGTCCAGATGTTGATAAGGACGACATTGTGTGTAAGTGACTTGTTTTAATGTTTTATCCGTCCTTGTTACTGTGACTTGCGTTTGATTTTTTATTCATACCACTCTCATTTAATTGTTTTCCAGCTGCCTGTAAGACGTATTATGAGACGGTACGCAGGAGCTTCAGATATACGCAGCCAGCCAACACGCTGCGTGCGGAGGCTATCTGCTCTGAGTCGGGCCAGAAGAAAGAGGGTAAGACTTTATTTGGTGACTATTTTTCAGGTGCATTGATAGAGGTGTTGTGTCCATACGCAGTGCGCTGATTCATTGTTTTTTTTTTTTCAGCTGCTGAAAGCGAGGCAGAGTGTGCTGGCAGATGAGGAAGCGGAACTCTGGAAGTCCGCCACCGTCGACCTCATGTCCGACGAAGAAGATGGCGTCGTCGGGGGTGTCTCTGGATGGGTTGTACGGTCGCCGCCACTTCGTAGGCCGGATCTCACTGAACTCTGTGTTAAGCTGCAGTCCCGGTTAGAAGCGATGCCGAAGTACAGGGCCACACACAGCAGGCGTCTGCACATCGGACCTGCCTCGGAGGGAATGCTGCCTGTTACCTCCAACCCCGAGGAAGCAAACGGACCGTTCACGGACTTGTAATTTTTTGTAACGCATGTGTTTGGAGACGCGTTGTATATAGTTGTGTGTGTGTGTGTTTTCAATAAAGCTCTTTGTTTGCATAAACAGCTTCCTGGCAAATGTTCATTTCTTGTATAGTGTGTAGTAGTGTAGGATAACATAAATACACACCATATGAATGAATAAATATATATGAATAAATATATATATATATATATATATGAATAAATATATATACACTATATTGCCAAAAGTATTTGCTCACCTGCCTTGACTCACATATGAGCTTAAGTGACATCCCGTTCCTAATCCATAGGGTTCAATATGACGTCGGTCCACCCTTTGCAGCTAGAACAGCTTCAACTCTTCTGGGAAGGCTGTCCACAAGGTTTAGGAGTGTGTTTATGGGAATTTTTGACCATTCTTCCAGAAGCGCATTTGTGAGGTCGCACACTGATGTTGGACGAGAAGGCCTGGCTCTCAGTCTCCGCTCTAATTCATCCCAAAGGTGTTCTATCGGGTTGAGGTCAGGACTCTGTGCAGGCCAGTCAAGTTCATCCACACCAGAATCTGTCATCCATGTCTTTATGGACCTTGCTTTGTGCACTGGTGCACAGTCATGTTGGAAGAGGAAGGGGCCAGCTCCAAACTGTTCCCACAAAGTTGGGAGCATGGAATTGTCCAAAATGTCTTGGTATGCTGAAGCATTCAGAGTTCCTTTCACTGGAACTAAGGGGCCAAGCCCAGCTCCTGAAAAACAACCCCACACCATAATCCCCCCTCCACCAAACTTTACACTTGGCACAATGCAGTCAGACAAGTACCGTTCTCCTGGCAACCGCCAAACCCAGACCCGTCCATCAGATTGCCAGATGGAGAAGCGCGATTCGTCACTCCAGAGAACGCGTCTCCACTGCTCTAGAGTCCAGTGGCGGCGTGCTTTACACCACCGCATCCGACGCTTTGCATTGCACTTGGTGATGTATGGCTTGGATGCAGCTGCTCGACCATGGAAACCCATTCCATGAAGCTCTCTGCGCACTGTTCTTGAGCTAATCTGAAGGCCACATGAAGTTTGGAGGTCTGTAGTGATTGACTCTGCAGAAAGTTGGCGACCTCTTCGCACTATGCGCGTCAGCATCCGCTGACCCCGCTCCGTCAGTTTACGTGGCCTACCACTTCGTGGCTGAGTTGCTGTCGTTCCCAAACACTTCCATTTTCTTATAATACAGCTGACAGTTGACTGTGGAATATTTAGGAGCGAGGAAATTTCACGACTGGATTTGTTGCACAGGTGGCATCCTATCACAGTTCCACGCTGGAATTCACTGAGCTCCTGAGAGCGACCCATTCTTTCACAAATGTTTGTAAAAACAGTCTGCATGCCTATGTGCTTGAATTTATACACCTGTGGCCATGGAAGTGATTGGAACACCTGATTCCAATAATTTGGATGGGTGAGCAAATACTTTTGGCAATATAGTGTATATATATATATATATAAATAAATATATATATATATATATATATATATATATATATATATATATATATATATAAATAAATATATATGTGTAAATTTATATGTAAATATATATATATATATATGCCAACCAATCACGAGCGACTTTACTTGTTTAAAAAGAAGTGGTTCCGTCCAATACTCAGTAAGAAAATTAAAGCCTGGCGTGGCCACGTGTGGTTTTGCTGCCAATCACGAGCGATTTCATTTGTTTGAGAATAGTGGTTTCAGCCAATACTGAGTAGATTATTCAAGCCAGACCTGGCCAGCCACGCGGGTTTGCTGCATTCATATGCTAATTAGGGCCATTAGTACAGCTGATCGCTCTCCACATACGTCAGGGTCCGTTTCCGACAATTTGTGGCACGAAAAACGCGGACAAGCACGGGTTGCAAATTGTCGGAAACTGACGAAAATCAGGCAGATCTGCGGGAGTTTCTGCTCTGCTCCCCTCATCAAAAGTCTCTGAGAAATGTTCTTTCGGAACTATTCTCCTCTATTGGAGGAGACAATAAAAGGGTTTGGGGAATCAATATAAGGCTGCAGCATCTGGACACTTCCATGGACTTCTGGAGGAAGCTCCCGCACCTGTTCACATTACTGGGTTTAGGTGGGTCGTGGTAGCTTCTTCTCCTGGTACTTAGTGTAGGGAGGAGTCTACAACTTTTGGTCTCGCTACTGGGTGTCAAGAGGACTATATCACCCACCTGAGCTTCTGCCATGCCAACATGTGGTCTCCTAAAAGAATTTTACCCCCATGTTTTTGTAGTTTTTGTCTTTTGACTACTACATCAACTTTGCCTGTTTGCTTTTTGTGTCTCTAGATTCTTTTTCTAACTTCGCTCGGTGTTTCACTATGGGAATCGCCTTGGCGTGACCAACTACGGAAGCTCCAATGACATCACGTCTGTCTGAGACAGACAGGTTGAGCCGTGTCCGTGGCTCCACCCACCAGCTAGATCACGGCCAACCTACCCGCCTCAACTCATTCTCGCTTTCTTCCCGTGTGAAGACTACAACTAAGCTCCCTCAGCGCGCTCAGGTTAGCTTGGACCTGTTTAACTGTTCTCAGGTGTTCCGTAAAGGAAAACGTCGCTGAACGCAGGACCAGGACAGGCCTGTACCGTGCTGAGTAAGCGCTTCAGCAGAAGCACTTTCTGGAACACAAACGCTGGGAGCGGTGACCGCGTAAAGGCGAGCTGTCCCTGTATCTACTCCGTTTTAATTAACGGAATAGAGAGCGCTTGTGTCAGCCGAGCTAACACGTAAAGGTGGGCTTGGTTTTTGGCTAGCAGTGTATCGCTAGCATAAGAGTCCGGTTAACGGGTTGTGGCGAACGGACTTTATATCAGTAAAGAGCTAACGTGTAGCGACGAGCTCCGTGTTTAACCACAGTCATGTCTGCGGCTCCTACCCCTGCCAAAGGTTCGGAACCGAAGGCGAAAGAGGTTGTATCCCGCCCGTGTCCAGCGTCATGCGGGGCATCTATCTCTGGGCGGGACCCTCATCCGATGTGTATAGCATGTATGAGCGCTAAGCACGCTCAGGCATCACTGGCGGACCCTCAGGGATGCCAGCACTGCGCGTCGATGCCGGAAAGGATCCTGGAGAGGCGGCTTAGGGTGGCTGTCGCTAACAGCCAGGACCCTTGCTTCTCCTCACCTGCAGCCGTTGCGGCGACGGGTGAAAACCATCCGCCGCTAGCCTCTAAGAGCTGGGCGGACGTGATGGAAGAGGAGTACCCGTCCATGCCTCCTCTGTTTGAGGGCCTTATGGACAGTGGGAAACTCGAGGCAGACATCGACGAAACGGAGGGTGACGCTAACTCCGACCTCCTGGAACTGGAGGACATGGAGGAGGAGGAGG